AACTATAAGGCAAATTAGAAAACTGTTGACATGTAAACTGTTTTATAACCGGGTTAGGTGGTGCACACCTGTCATCTTAGCATTCTGGGAGACTATAACAGAAAGATACTACATTTGAGCCCAGCCTGTGCAATTTAGTGATGTAATAAGACTGTCCCAAAAGAAAAAGTAATGGCAGGGGTTGTAGCTCAGGGCAAAAGCCCTAGGTTCAAACTCTTGTAGAACTAACTAAGTAAATACCCCCCAAAATATTATGAATCCTATTTCTCTTTGTGAGTTGCGTTTTGTTTTATCTTTAGCTAATGGTAAGGTATATCAAAATGAAATGTTATCTGATTTGAAACCTTAAAATAAATAGTGAATTAGAAAATAATTTTCAATTTACTGCTTGTTATCTTGTTTCCTAATCACTTGATAAAAATCCTACTACTCAATAATGTATTCCATCCACTATAATTTGATTTTTTTTTTTTTTTTTTTTTTTTGGTACTGGGAATCAAATTCGCAACCTTGCACTTGCTAGGCAGGCATCATACCACTGATCTGTATCCCTGGCTTGAATTATTTTTATCTTGGCAGAATGTTTCACTTTAAATTTATATTTGTTATATTTTTACACATTTTAACACACTTTCCTAGAGAAGGGCAGGTTAATTAATTGTGAAATGTAGAAGAAAGTAATAACATTAGTGATTGCAGTTAGCTTGAATCTTGTTTGGGATAAAAAAGAAAATTGGTGCTGCTTTGGCTCGGTAGCTATTAAAATGTACCAACACCTGTTATATGCCTGAGAGAGTCCCAGGTCTTTTTACATATGTGACTTTGTCCCCACAGAAACTTTGAGACAGGTAGAATCATCTTCATTTCATACAACAGACAACTGGAAATCAAACAATTTGGATTACTTAAGTAAATTACAATAGCTAATAAATAATAGAGAACAATATTCAAACCAATATATTCTTACTCCAGAAGAACACTTTTTCATCTCACTAGAACTCTCTATTTTTACGCTAATAATAATACACTGGGAAGCAAATTTTGTTCCTTTTAGAATCTTGTGGTATGTATTTTTATTTTCCAAATAAGATGTAAAACAAGTGAGCCTGATTCTAACCACATTGAATTGTAAGACTTCTTGGCCAAAGTTTGTAATTAATAAGCACCAATAAGTAGAATATTTTAGTTAGTATGGATTTTCATATTTCTTTCTCTTTACTAAGGAGAGACAATAGACATCAGAGACTTGAACAGAATACTAGGAAACATGGGGATTGAACTCACCAAAGAAGAACTCGAAGAGCTGGAACCAGACCTTGCAGTTGATGGTAACTCATTTTAAATAGAAAAGTTCTTTAGAAGATTGTGCTCTGAAAGGTTTATATATAAGTATTTCTGAAACCTGATTAATTCTGTAATGATAAACTACTCAAAATCTTAGAAAAATCTAATTCTAGAGTAAGAGCAAAGTCTGTCCTCAGTTTCTAAATCCTTATAGAGTACAAAAGCATTTGGCTAAACGGAGGCTAAGACCATCTCTGACATCAGTGAGTGTTTAGGAAGCAGAATGAACAGGTAGAGAAGCGGGGCGGGGGGGGCTGGGGATTTAGCTCAGCGGCAAAGCACCTGCCTGGCAAGCGCAAGGTCGTGAGTTCGGTTCTTGGTACTGGAGAAAAAGCAAAACCATAAAAAAAAAAAAAAGGTAGAGAAGGGAATAAATAGGAGAAAGTGAATGTACATCTTTTCCACATTTCCCATTCGTTTTCTCCGACTTAGTTCCCTAACATAACTGAAACTTCTCTAGCAATACCATTTGGATGTGCCGTTTGCCAGTTGCACGAAACAATACTCATTCTGTTCCTTCTACTCTCCGTTGGCTGTGGTAGTGATAATTCTGGCCTTCTTGCAATTTTGTTTCCTCTGTTTCTATGTTCTATCAATGGCAGTCTTACTCCTCTCTGATTTTTATGTTACCTACTACTTCTGGAAAACCTCATTTGTATCCATGGTTTTACCTATCGTCTGTAGACTGATGACTTTCAAACCTGTATTTTTATGTAGACATTCCCACTTGTGTATTCCATAGGAAGCATCAGTTTTAAATATATTTAAAATTAGCTATTTCCCCTCTTAGTCATATATTATCTGTCTTATTTGTGCTATAGAGTCACCTAGTTATATAAAATACAGTTTTGATTCCCTGCTGTTTCCTATAACCCATTATCTGGTCAACTAACTTTATAATGGCAATTTGACCTGAAATTACCATCCATAAATGGCTACATGGATGGATGGCTGGACTCACACAGTGGTGTAATGAAATGTTCCCAGACTCCAGACTATGGGCTTGTGATATTCACTGTGCCATTCTTTTAACCTCACTAAAGTTTTGTAAATTTTTAAAAAAATTTTTGAACTATGTTTATTGGTACATTTTAGGTGTACATAATGATCACATTCATCGTAGGGAATCTGTACCTGCACATGACACAACTGGATTATTTTCTTCCCATTCCGCCACCCTCTTTTTAACCACACTTCCCTAAAACAAATTTTTAAAAATCTCATATATATATCCTTCAGTGTCTCCCTCTCCCGGCTGCTGCTGCCATATGTCGCATCCTTTTATTCTCAGCTTCACTACTGTAATGGCTCCTACAGTACAGCCTCAGAGTAAGCCATGTAAAATGAAAATCCGACCACCTCACACCTAAATTCAAAGACTTTCAGGCAACTACTAAAATATGTCTTAAATCCCTTAAGACAGCAAACAAACATTCATGATCTTGATCCTGCTAATCTATCTAAGCTAGTATCTTATCCTCCAATAATATTGAACTTTCATTCTGTTTTATATTATGAAATAAAATCGCTGTATGTCCTTGTATTTTATATCGTGCTTTTTATCACTTCCTTTCTTCATTTTTTATGTCCACTCTACCCAAGGGGCCCCTCTTTTACTTTCAACTGAGTCAGTCAGTCCTCCCCATTGCTTATCAGAGCTGAGAGCCACCTTTTCCAGAAAGTTTTTTTAACTACCCAGGCAACACTGGATGCCTCTTTTCTGTATTTCCACAATAATAGTGCATGTATTTTTCATTGTATCCATTACATCCGTATTGTGATTATGTTTATCTGCCTCTCCTGTCATTGTTATATGATCTTTAGAGTAGAAAATAGTGTATTATTCATCTTTGATATCCACTCTCTAGAACAGTACCTGGTGTATCACATAGGCACTTTGTAAATATTGAATGAGAGGTGGGCAAATGACTGAGTAAATGAGTGAGTGAGTGAATGAATAGATATTGATAAAATAATTTCTAACTAAATGAAGAACTTCCTTCAGTCAGTAAACTAAGATCTATTTCTGGTATAATGTAAGCACTATCTACAGCAATTCTAAAGTCTGTTTAGGAACAGCCTGGAGAGGAGCAGATGCTCTTCTTTTTCCTACCAGAGACCAACTAGTAAAATTCAAGTCATTACCAGAATTGAGGATCTCCAGATTTTTCTATCATGTTTACAAGGAGCATCATTATCCACTAAGAACATATTTTCCCTGGGCCAGATTTTGTGATTCAGTAGTCATGGGCCAAGACACTAATATATAAGCAATCCTTGAAAAGTAATGCTATGCAATTAAAGTGAATTTAAATAGTAATGTATAATTAAAATTTTAGCTAGTTTCTGGATCTCTATATAAAAATATTTTTGTTCTGAATTTGTGTTACCTTGTAGCTGAGGGGAAGACTGACCTGAAGTCATTGATGGATGCAGTGCAAATTGTTACAGGTTAGTGAGGAGTTACTACAAATTTAGCATCCTAATTCTTTGCACTAAACTGTATTTTTCTATAATAAATGTTACGTTAAAGTGTGGCATATTATTATACTATATACTCACACGTGTCCAGTTTAAAAATTATCAGAAGTGAGCATATCCAAATTCCCACTTAACTCCCACTTGGATCATAAAATAGAAGATTACCAATAATCCATAAAGTCCCTGACTACACTATAATCACTTCCCCTTTGCTCTTTGGAGGTAATTAAAGTTGAGTATCCATATCCATGGGTTCTACATCCACAGACTCAATCATATCTCATAAAAATATTTGGAGAAATTGTGTCTCTATTACATAAGTGCAGATTTTTATTGCCATTATTTTCTAAATAATATAGCAACTATTTACAAAGTATTTACATTGTACCAGGTATGCTATATAACATAAAAAGTATTTAAGGGGTACAGAAGATGTATGTAGATTATATGCAAGAGCTATGAAGGACTTAAGCATATGCAGATTTTTTGTAAAATTTTTAAAATCTTGGAATGCATGAATACAGAATGTACTGATCTACTTGGGGTAATTAACATTTACATCTCTTTATTTCTTGATATCTAGAGCTTTCTGAGCTCCTCTCCTACTTCTTTATAAAATATGAGTTATCGTGAACTATAGTCATTCCATGGTGCTGTGGAACTAGAATTGATTCCTTCACTCTGTGTTTAGGTACTGTGATCAAACCTCCCTCTTTTTTTCATGCCCTCCCTGCTGCCTACCCTCTACTAATCATGATTCTTAATTTAGGTAAATATTTTTTGTTTCCACATAGGAGAGAGCCCATGCAGTATTTGTCTTTCTGTGTCCCACCTATTTCATTTAACGGCATGTTCTTCAATTCCATCTGTTTTGCTGCAAATAACAGAATTTAATTCTTCATGGCTAATTATTGTTCCATGGTGTGTATTTCCCACATTATCCATTCATTCACCAATTGGCCCCTAGGTTGATTTCATATTTTGATTGTTGTGAAATAGTACTGCAGTAAATAAGAGTGTATGTATCTCTTTGATATCATGATTTAATCTCCTTTAACTAGATACCTAGTAGTGACATTGCTGGATCATCTAGTAGTTCTACTTTTAGTTTTTAAAGGAATTTCTATACTCTTTTCCATAGCAGTTGTACCAATTTAACTCACAGCAATTAGTATATAAGCATTTCCCTTTCTCTGTATCCTCACAATAATTTATTATTTTGAATCATTTTTATCATTCTAACTGGGATGAGATGACATCTCATTGTGGTTTCATTTATATTTCCCATGTGCTTAATGATGTTGAGAATTTCTTCTTTTCCGAAATTTCTATTCAGATTTTTGACCATTTAAACATTTTTAAACTTTTAATGTAATACATGTAGATATTGACAAAGAAAATATTTAAAAACACTCTTCTCATTAAAAAAAAGTAAAACTGATTTTCAGAACAAAATAATTAGAAAGTTAATACACTGTGTACTAAATAGAAAGTTCATTAGAAAGTTAATACACTGTGTACTAAAATCTTAAAAGTGGCCAAAATATTAGAGTACAAGTTATAGACAAAAAAAGACTGTTTCTTATAAAAAACAGATAGTACCATAAAACTTTCTTTTCAATGAACTAAGAGAATTAGTCAAAAATACTTCAATCTATGTGCTAATTTGCTTCATCTCTACAACTGGACCCTTTTTACTTGGATTTTTAAAGATTCCTCATATATGTTGAATACCAATCCCTTATTTGATAAATAGCTGACAAATATTTTCTCTCATTTTATAGACTGTCTCAGCTCTGTTGTTTCCTCTGCTATGCTGAAGCGTCTTAGTTTTATACAGTCCCAGTGCATATTTGCTTTTGTTGACTGCTTTGGAGTCTTATCCAAAAATAATTGCCTATTTCAGTGTCTTGAAGTACTCCTCTCATGTTTTCTTCTAGTAGTTCCACACAGTTTCAGGTCTTACATTTAGGTCTTGGTCAGTTTTGAGTTGATGTTTATATACGGTGAAAGATAGGCATTGTTTCAATCATTTGCATATGGATATCCAGTTTTCCCAGTACTACTTATAGAAAAGGTTGTCCTTTTCCCAACATATATTTTTGGTGGCTTTGTCAAGAATCAGTTTACTTTAGATACTTTGGTTTATTCTGGGATCTTTACTTTGTTTCACTGGTCTATGTGTCTGTTTTTATGCCAGTACTGTGCTGTTTTGACTGTACTCTCTAATGCATGGACATAACTTTGACATAACTCTCTAATGCATCCAACTTTTTTCTCTTGTTAAGTATTATTTTGTCTGTTTGAGGTTTTTTGTGTTTCCATATGAATTTTAGGATTTTCTAGTTCTGTGAGGAATTTTATTGCTATCTTGATGGTGTTGCATTGAATCTATAGGTTGCTTTGGATAATGTGGGCATTTTGACAATATTATTTCTTCCAGTCGTGGGTATTTTCATTTTCTTGGGTTACCTTCAAATTCTTGCATCAGTGTTTTGTAACTACAATGTAGAGCACTTTCATTTCCTTGGTTAAATTTATTCCTGGGTATTTCATTATTTTTGGAGCTATAGTGACAGATTACTTTCATGATTTCTTTTTCAGCAAGCTTGTTTTTGGTGCATAAAAATGCAACCAATAATTACATGTTGATTTTGTATCCTGAATCTTTGCTGAATTCATTTATCAGCTCTAAGAGTCTTTTGGTGGAGTCTTTAGATTTTCCATATATAGAATCACATAATCTGCAAATAGGAATAACTTGATATCTTCATGTACCATTTGTGTGACTTTTATTTCTTTCTTTTGCCTGATTGCTGTGGTTAAAACCTCTGGTACCATGTTGAGTAAGAGCAGTAATATTGGATATTCTTCTCTCATTCAAAGTTAGAGAAAATATTTAGTATTTCTCCATTCAATATGATGTAATTGTCGATGTGTGACCTATAGCTTTATTTATTTGGAGATTGGTTTCTTCTATATCCAGTTTGTTGAGGGTTTCTTTCAAGAAGGGATGGTAAATTTTGTCAAATGCATTTTCTGCATCCATTGAAATGACCACATGGTTTTTATACTTCACTCTGCTGATGTGACATATTACATTTATTCATTTGTGTACACTGAAACATCCTTGCATCTCTGAGATAAATCCTACTTAATTATGATGAGTTTTTGATATGCTGTTGAATTTGATTTGCTAACATTTTATTTAGAATTTTTACATCTACGTTCTTCAGGGATATTTGTTATTGCTTTATTTTTGTAATCTTATTTGGGTATTTGGTTAATGTTGAACTCAGAACAAGTTTAGAAGAGGTCCTTTTCTTTCAGTTATAACTAAATTTGAGAAGAGTTGGTGTGAGTTCTTTCCTATAAAGTTTGGTTGAACTAGGCAGAAAAGCCATTTCCTTCTGGACTTTTCTTTGTTGAAAGACTTTTATTCGCCTATATAATCTCATTACCTGTTATCAGTCAACTTGGGTTTCCTGTGTCCTCATGGCTTAGTTTTGATAGTTTCTATGTCTTCAGAAATTCAATGTCTTCCAAGTTCTAAAGTGTTGGCATGTAGTGATAGGAATTGTATTGTTTCCTTTTTAATCTGATTATATTTATTTGTGACTTGTCTCTTTTTTCTTGGTTAAACTACCTAACTTTGTCTATTTTTCAAAAAAAAAAACAATTCTTTAGCTCATTGATCTTTCGTATTTTTTACCTTTATTTCAGTTATTTCTTCTTTGACCTTTGTTACTTGTTTCCTTTTATTACTCTTGAGTTTTGTTTGCTATGTCTGCACTAGATTCTTGAGATGCACCATTAGGTTATTTGTTTGAAATCTTTATTTTTTTAAAGCATGCACTAATTGTTTTCAACTTCCCTATTAGTACTGCTTTTCTTGTATCCCATATGCTGTGTTGCCACTTTGTTTCATGAAACTTTTAAATTTCCTTTTTCATTTCTTCAGTCACCAATTATTCCTTCAACAATATGCTGTTCAGTCTTTATAGATGTATTTGCACAATTTCTAAATTTCCTTTTGTTTTTGATTTTCAGTTTTATGCCTATTGTCATAAAAATCATGATGTGATTCTGATTTTTTTAAATTATTGAGACTTTTGTGTGTAGTCTACATGGATGAAAAGATGCACATTCTCTAGCTGTTGGATAAAATGTTCTGTGAATGTTAAGTCTAATTAGTCTATAAAGTAGTTACACTCTGATGTTGCTATGCTGATTTTTTTGGCGGGGGAGGGTTCTGGATGATCTGGCCATTGATGAAAATTGGGTATTAAAGTTGCTCCAGCATTGAGTACATATGCATTTATAGAAGACATGTTTAAAAACTAATCTTTTGGTTATTCTATAGTGACCTTCTTTGTTATTCTTTTACAGTTTTTGTCTTAAGGCATGTTTTATCTCATATGAGAGTAGCTCCTTGAGCTCCCTTCTTGCTCCATTTGTGTGGTGCACTTGTTTGCTATAGGTGACATACTGCTTCGCCTTGAGACTTGTGTGTATGTGTGATCCATTTACCCAGTCCGCCTTTATGAATTGGGGAATTTCATATATTTGCATTTGAGGTTATTGTAATCGATAAATAAGTAACAACTTAGATATTGCAAGTTATGCCCCTGACGCAAAGCTCTTTCTTTCTGTGGGCTCTGTGCCGGTGATATGTGTGAAACTCTTCTCTCACTAGGTTTGCGGCTATGCACTGCCGCGGGGCCCACCGGGACTCTCCCACTCACCCTTTCCCTTGCACTGGAGAGTCCCTGTGGCCAGGGAATCAGGGTAGCAGGCGCTGGTGTGCTTTTTCCTACCTCCTGTGTGCTGCTATCCTGGTTATTCATGTCTTACAGAGTTCCTATCTCTCGCTTGCTAAATGCCAGTGCTACTCATATTGAAACGCAGCTTTTGTTATGGTTCTTCTTTCCCACTGGAAACCTCATGAGCTCCTTGTTGCTGCTCACATTCCTACCAGCACTTTAGTCTTCTGAGCGCCCACCAAACCTGCCCTTCAAGCTCCGCTTACAGCTTTCTAGTCTTTCTCCAACCTCATATTCCAGACTTACGCAAATCACTCCTGAAAACCAGTTCCAAATGCCTCTAAACCACGCGGTCACGTAATCACACCAGTGACCCTACTCTCAGTACATTTTCTCTGCTGGTCATCTCTCCATCGCTGGGACAACATCCACGGCAACGTAAATAAGGGGAGGTTTACTCTGGCTCACTGTTGCAGGGATTTCAGTTCGCGGTGGCTCTAAAGCAGAAACGTCCCGGGGGAAAGGCGGAGTGCAGGGAAGCTGCCGACCTCATGGCAGCCAAGAAGCAGAGAGACGGGGAAGGACTCAGAAAGAAAGGAAGGGGCCGGGAGCCAGACAGCGTCCCCAAGTGCATGCCCCCGTGACCCACGCAGACACTCTCGGAAGTGTGCCGTCTTTCTCACCTAGGCCCCTCTCACAGAGTGAAGCTGATAGTCACGATTAAGCATCACACAAATCTTGTGTTCATTTTCACTAATTCCGTTTATCACTATAGTGATTTTAAAATGACATAAACTTTACGTAGCTCTACACTTACTGTTTCATAGCCATCATTATAGTAATAAATCTTTTGGTATGATTAAAAGAATACTAGTCTCTGTACGTGCAACTACTTATTATTTAGCAAGTGTCATTGTACCTTAATTCATCTTTCATAATTAGATTCTTTTAAAACACTTCCTCTTTCTCCGCTTATATTTTAAAGGAGGAGAAGTTGACCCCAGTGACCTGGAAAATGTTTTGCAAAACATGGGGATTGAGCTCACGTCCAGAGAACAATTGGAGTTAAATAAATCACTCCCAACTGATGGTGGGCATTTTAAATATTAGTATAGCTTTAAAGAGAATTAATATTACCCTCAAGTGAGTTAGTGTATTTACTAAGGAAATCACTCACTATTACAAATATCAATATCCTCTTGAGGAAGTTACAGTTATATTTTTAAAAATCTGAATTATACAATAACCTGTTTACAGTAGGTCATTTATAAATTCAAGATAAGTTTATAAATTTATAAATTGCTTACAGTTGACCATGTTTACAGTAGGTCATTTATAAATTCAAGATAGTAAAAGCCATAATTTCAGAAATAACCATTTTTTAAATTTAGGAATATGAAAATTGTCTCAATAAAATAAACATGTATCTTGCCATCAGGGATCAGGAATATTGACATTTATCCTTCATTCCATTAAGATTTGTTGGTTGAAGATATACAGAATTTAGGAGGAAGAAGAGAGCTATACAGTTATACTAGGAAAGACAGATTCAGAAAAAATATAAGACAAGGAAAAGTTTTTGCGTTAGCCTTGTTGGTATTATCTCAGGTGCTAAAGAATTGACAGATTTACCATAATAAGAATTTTGTCTATATTTTTACTTTATTATTTTTAGAAGAATAGGTATGTTTTAGGATCAAGTTATTTTATGATTTACATTTATGAACGTAGAGATTTTTGCATTACTGTAGCATAGTAGCTTTTTTCTATGATCTAAAATAATGTATTCTTTTTATAGCTAATGGGAAACTATACAAGAACAGATTGCTGAAACAAGCAAATGCTATAAAAGGTGAGTGAGATGCAAATTGAGAAGGCAGATTGAGGCGCCTCTGTTTTGCTTTTGTTTTTTTCTTTGTCACTGGATTTTGTTTCCTATCAATCATATAAATATTTTCCACAGTTAAAGAATATATATACATAATCATATTGATTAAACTGAGTTTTTTTTTAAAAAGACGTTCTAGCTATCTTAGGTTTTATCTTTGGCAGTGGAAATAATAAAATAGACAAAGGTATAAAAATATGAGAGAATCTAGTATAATTTGAAGTTAAGGGACTAAGAAAATTATACTATTTGTATAATTATGTTACAATTATCAGATTTGATATTTTGCTGCTACAACTACATGGATAGTTTTTCAACTGTCTTTCAACATATAGTTTCTTGTAAGCTTATTTTTAATGTTAGATGTAAATGAGCAGATTAATTTTAGTTCATTAATAGTTTTTTAAAACAATGTCCTTGGGTTCTTTTATGATGAAATTGACAACCTTGATAGATAGGAGTTAATATTTATATTATTTTGACTTTTATTTCAATTTGCTCACATCTTCCTCTTTTTTAGGGTTGCAAGCTGATATTCATGACCTTGACAGCATCCTTGGAAACATGGCATTCAAAATCACACCCGAGACACTTACGGATTTAGCGCCAGATCTGCTAGTTGCTGGTGAGTGATGAGAGACTACACAGCACTGTGCTCTCAGGATAATGTGGATTTGAGGCTGATGTTTTTTGGTAGTGCTCATAGGGCTTAGAGAAGAATGTTCTTCTCTTAATAGTTTAAAGTTGATTCCGTTTTTGCCTTTTATTTATTTAAGAAATTTTTCAGTACTCTTATGTGGCTAGTGGCATTGGACAGGGCAGAAGTAGAATGGTTCTATGTCACAGAAAGGCCTATTGCACAGCACTGCTTTAGATCAATCATTACAATGTAAAAATAAAGCCTTCACTAGTTTAAAGTCATCCAGAAGTGAAACTACCTATTGGAATAAAAATGAACATGCTCTAGAGGAACAGAGCAGAATCAAGAGATTTATGATATATTAATTACAACATCTGACATGCTACATTACTATGTAGGTATGAAAGAAGATTAAAATGTGTATTATAGTCAAATAAAAATAAAATGAAAGCCAGGGATATAGCTCAGCGGCACAGCACCTGTCTGGCAAGTGCAAGGTTCTGAATTCTTTTCCCAGTGCCAAAAAAAAAGAAAGAAAGAAAGAAAGAAAGAAAGAAAGAAAGA